GACAGGATACTCTCGGTAGCTTGCCGGGCTCTCCAAGAGGGATGGAAGAGTCAAACCTGGGTCAGCAAGGCAAATGCTCTACCCACTGTGCTATTGTTCCAGCCCACAGAACTCAAATAACAGATATGAAATCCAACTCCAGAGAACCTATAGAATCTGAGGTGAAGACTGAAACCTTCCCTGTAGCTCACACTAGTTCAAGCCCATCACTAGCACCATAACCTTGGACCTACCTTCACAACACCAGCGAGCTAAGAATCACTAGGCAGGTTCCTGAGCACTACTTGGGGATCTCCACGCATCCAACCCTAACTCACCACATGTTTAATGGGTCAATGTTACTAACACAGGCTTCCTTTAATTTAAATTCACTTTGGGCTACTACTTAGTCTTGACTTGCTGTGGATACTTCCCTAGAATCTGTCACCCAAATCTGCTTTGTTTTTTTTGTAAGGGTCAATTGAAACAATTGATGAAAGTAATGAAACCTTAATTCCTTTGACAATACCTTGGGGGGAATTATTTTCAAACCAAATCAAGTGTGTTCCTTTCTCATAACCCCAATTTCCCCCATTGGTGCTGGTCAGAACTAAAAAGTGTGCTCAGTATTAAACATTTGGGAGAAGCACATTAACTGGATGAATAAATCAGAAAAGTGAAATCCTAGCGAAGACATGTTTTCATGGCATAGTCTTATCTTTCTCTCATCTTAATTATTAAAGATATGACCTTCAAAATGGCACAAATGGCACACGCTTAACGAAGTTTCTGAGTTCCTAATGTAAAGAGACACTATTCTTTCTATTGCAGAGGTAAGAAAACAGAGACTTCAAACCTGCAAGTATTGTGGAAATGCCTTTCATGTGGTTCATATTCTTCATATAGTCTCCTCTCAAATAATGACAAGTTTATAAAATAGAAGGTCTTTTCTAACCTATAAGAATGCTAGGAATTGGGACCAGAGCAGTAGTACAGCCCGGAGGGTATCTGGGCATCTGCCTTGCACATGGTCAGAGTCACCCAAAGCATCTTAATCATCTTTTTTCATCTTCACACACATATGTTTTAATAAAAGCTGTCTTCTTTCACACATGCACAAGATTAAGTAAAATTAGAGGGGTTGGTCCTATAGTATAGCCCTATACTATAGTATAGTATAGGTGATTTGCTAAATGTCTAATGTTCATTGTTCTCTTTGGATATTAGACATTTAGCAAACCACGTCTTACTCATGGCAACCAAAGCTCTCACTTGCATAAAGGAGACACCAGTTTCAGAATCATGCAAGGATGTTGTCCAACTTGCAGTCAAGGAGACCCATTGTAAGGGTATCTGTGCTTCATAAACTCTTATACAGAGCTGTTCTTTTTTTCTATGAGCTATTTTTCAGAAATGTCCTGGTTTCTTCAAGTCATCAATGTAGCTATTAAATAGTTCATTTAGGACATATTTCTTTTATATTGCTTGTCACAGATTGGTAGTTCTCACTCCAGTAATTATGATTCAAGTTGAACTCAGAGTATTTCTCCCCAATAGAATATATTCAAAATAAAAATGTGTTCCTCTTGTGATTAGAACTTTAGAGCACCAAAATAACACTACGTAGAGTATAAAAGTTGTTTCCCTATTTAAGTGTCCCAATCTTTTTATTGAAGGAATAAAGCTTCATAATGTGTTTGTAGAACTTGCTTGTGAATGAATCCCCTTATAGTTAATTTGCTTTTTTGATGAATGTAGTAGATAGAGCTATGTTGAAAACATCTCTAAATCCACTCTCTTCTAACTTGCACATCCATCCTCGATTGGAGAACATTTCAAATGCATATAAAGTTTAGTCTTCCTTTGAAGACACAGGAACAAGAATTCAGATGCAATTTCAGAAAATATTAAAAGCTTCACAACATTATATAGCAATAAAATTTGTGTTTTTTAGACATAGATGGTGTTAACAAGATAAAATGTATTAAAATTAGGCCTGATCTTCAAGCCTGTGTTCTCTCTCTGACACAAACCTTGCTTGCTGGTCTTTGTGTTCCTTTGCTTGTCTACTTCTGCCCTGGAGAAGCCTATGTTCTCTTTTCAATACATACTTCTATTCTCTACACATATACACACACACATTTTAATAAAAGCTATCTTGTTTCACACACTGTCACTCTCACTGTCCTGTTGTTCATCGATTTGCTCGAGTAGGCCCAGGAATGTCTCCATTGTGAGACATGTTGCTACTGTGTTTGGCATATCGAATACAACATGGGTAGCTTTCCAGGCTTTATCATGCGGGTGATATACTCTTGGTAGCTTGCCGGGCTCTCCGAGAGGGGCAGAGGAATCGAACCTGGGCCGAACAGGTTGGCTGCGTGCAAGGCAAACACCTTACTCGCTGTGCTGTCGCTCCCTACCCTGAATGTACCATATCTTTTCTGGTCTCGGAAGCTAAGCAGGATAGGCCTGGTTTCACATACAAATAAATAAAATCAGAGGGGTTGGTGCTAGAGTATAGCTGGGAATGGTGCCTGCCTTGCATGCTGCTGACTCAGGATCACAATGGGCATGCCCTATGTTCCCCCAAGTGCACCAGAAGTGTTGTTCTCTGAGTGCAGGGCCAGGAGTACGTCATGAGCAATGCTGGGTGTGCCTCCCCCCAAAAAAATTAAATTAAGAGCGATAGCACAGTGGTAGGGCGTTCGCCTTACAAGCGGCCAACATGGCCGACCCGAGTTCCATTCCTCTGCCCCTCTCGGAGAGCCTGGCAAGCTTCTGAGAGTATTCGATATGCCAGACACAGTAACAACAAAGTCTCCAATGGAGACGTACTGGGCCCGCTCGAGCAAATCGACGATCAACGGGAGGGCAAAAAAAAAAAAAAAGAATTAGAAAGAATCATCCTTGTACATGCTATGTTATTCTACAATAATATTTACAAGAAGTTCAACCATAGGAAAGAGCAGTGTATATACACAAAGCTACATGTGTTTTGGAGAAGAGTTCCTTTCCTTTGCAAACCTCAGTCTGCGGTTCAGTCCCGGGAATAACCTAAATTACCTTCTTTTGCATTTTAGGGAAAATGCACACAACTTATATGTTAGCTCAATGTGAGTCCTTTCAATCTGTGTTGGTTCCTCTTGAGATAAGGATATGATACTTAATTTTCCAGCATGAAATAGCTTGACTTAAAATCCACTGTCTAGGATTGAGTAATCCTAGGTTGAGTAAAATAGGTTGAGTGAAGATTTGCAGGCAGGAGACCTAGCAGGGTTCGGCTCCCAGTAGAACTTGGTTTCCTTCATCTTTCAAGGAGTGGCTCCCAAGCAAATAATATAATAAAATAAAATAACAGTCCCCATAAATATTGTTTTTCCACCTGTTTTTAATAACCTCTGTGAGAGCAGTACAAGACAGACTTTCCTGGACTCATGAAAATAAACAAAGCAAACTCCTTTTGGGATACATCTCTTTACCATTTACATACTTCAGTTGAATTTCACAGTACAACCTTGAACTTTCCTTATAATGATCTCATTTTCTGCAGGCTATTCACTATGACCCATGCTTAAGTAACTAGACTTCCAATTTAGAATGGCGGATCACACCATAAATAATGCAAAGGCGTGGTTGTATTTTCAAATGGCGGTTGATACAAAAAATAATACAAAGGTGTAGCTGCATCCTTTCTTTCTTTATTGGATTTTGGGACACACTGGTAGTTCTCAGAGCTTTCTTCTGGCTCTGTGATCTTTCTTTTGGGGTCACTCTTGGTGGTGCTGGGAGCATCCAAAGGGATGTTGAGGATTGGACCCGGGTAAGCCACATGCAAGGCAAGCATCCTGCCTGCTGCACCATCTCCTAGGCCAACAAAAGTGTATTTTTCAACCCCTGAGGTGGGTCCAGGAGATAGCTATAAGGGTTAGAGCCCATGGACACATTCAGGACCTCTCGGTGCATCTGCGGTAAACCCCAGAACCACTGTGTCCTACACCTGAACTGTCAGGTCAGAGTATCATTAACAGTGTTTAATGGGGAGGACCCCCAGAGATAAACATTAGGGTTTCAGGGATGGAGCAATAGCACAGCAGGTAGGGCATTTGCCTTGCATGCGGCCAACCTGGGTTGGATTCCCAGTATCACATATGGTCCCCTAAACACCGCCAGGAGTAATTCCTGAGTGCAAAGCCAGGAGTAACCCCTGTGCATCACTGAGTGTGACCCAAAAAGGAAAAAAATTTAGGGTTTCTTCTTTCAGGTGGTGAGACTTCTCTAATTGAAGAAAAAATTTTATATCCAACTTTATTTTATATAGTCCAATATTCACAATTTTCAACATTTACCTTAAGATAATATTTATAATGAAAATATAGTTCAATGCCTAGTTTTATATCACAATATTATTAATCCTTGTTTGTTTTGTTTCTTGTCTTTGTGCAACCGGAATAATTATATTTGGATTTTGTCTTAAATAAATGTGAATGATCTTAGCATGGGTTTCAAATGAGACAAGAAACATGCCCAATAAGGAAGTATTGGTTTAAGGCAGTAAAGTTAAGGGTGGTTTTAAAAATGTTCTATGAGTTCTTTTCAAGATTTCTTTAAAGGAACTTCACACTTAAACCTTACTTTCTAAATAACTGTTCTGAAGAAAACTATTTCTTAAAAGGCAGAATGAGATGAATAAACTCAGGGCTGAACAGATGCTTCGGACACAATTTCTTTAGTCTTCCTGGGAATGTTACATGTTATAAGTAACAAGCTCAAGGTCACAGAAATAATAAATAGCAAAGCCTTTCAGCTCTACTGGTAAGAATATAGCTGGTGAAAATTCTAATCAAAAGTTTCTCTTTTGTGGTGAATTGTGATGGTGCCAGGTCTAAGATGCGTCTGTGTATGCAGAGGTCTTTATAGAAAGACGCGGGGTCCACTGTTCTCTCCTGTTTCACCTGGGTAGATTTGAAACCCTCTTTGGCTGGCAGGATCTGAGAAGGCACCTTGGGCGGCTTCATAGAAAGTCCCCGTTGAGGTCAGACTCACATGGAGATGCTTGGCTTAACCATGAGACAGCAAGAGGTTCCTGAGGGTCTGAAAGGGGTAGGAGATACGTGGATAAAGGAATTTTGCACATTCTCGCCAGGCAGCCTGTGAAATGCCGCTCTAAGTGAAACCTCAGTAAACTCTCTGCTTTTGTAACATGGAAATTGATTGATTCTGAATAATATTTACTCTTGGACATCCATTATGTTTACTTGACTTAAGCCTCAGTTGCCCTTAGATTGAACTTAGTTCCTTACACCCGAAAAGGTGGGTCCACCCGAGTTGTAAGCTACCCTGGCTCCAACGGGACAGCTTAAGCACCATAAGTGTGATCAATTAAAAGGACGTTCATGAAACAAACTCTGTCATGAACCAAAAAGAAGTAACTGAATAATGACCGTGGCTGCTGTTAGGCAAAACTAACCTGGCCCGAGGACTGTAGACAGAGAAATATAGCAGGATGTCCCCAAGAAAAGGTACCCTTTGAGCTTAATCTAGGGTATAGATAAAAGCCTATATCTCTGTATTCATGCAAAATGACTAGATTGTTGTTAAGAAGTACATTTAATATGATTGTTTACATGGATTACCAGCAAAGGAAAGGAGAAAGCAATGAGCGCTTAGCTGGAATTCCGCCCTTAGGTGGATCTCCTGGTAGGAATCAAGAATGCTGCAGCCTAGCATGATACTTTCCATGTAGTACCACTTGGATGTAAATTTCATGATTTCATCTTTTCTAACAGCTGCATAGTACTCCATTGTGTAGATGTGCCAAAGTTTCTTAAGCCAGTCATCTGTTCTCGGGCACTCAGGTTTTTTCCAGATTCTGGCTATTGTAAAGAGTGCTGTGATGAACAAACAAGTGCAGATGTCATTTCGACTATTCTTTTTTGCCTCTCTGGGATATATTCCCAGGAGTGGTATTGCTGGGTCAAATGGGAGCTCAATTTCTAATTTTTGGAGGATCCTCCCAGGATGGGAGAAGCATGCTGAAAGTAGACTATAGACAAAACATGATTGCCACTCAATGCCTCTTTTGCAAACCACAACACCCAAAAGGAGAGAGAGAACAAAAGGGAACGCCCTGCCACAGAGGCAGGGTGGGATGAGGGGGATGGGGGTAGGAGGGATACTGGGATCCGTGGTGGTGGGAAAAGGGCACTGGTGGAGGGATGGGTATTTATTTGATCATTGTATAATTGAAACCCAAGCACGAAAATTTTTAAGTCTACAACTGTGCCTCATGGTATTTCACTAATAAAAATTAAAAAATAAATAATGCTGCAGCCCCTAGAAGAGATTCTGTCCAGAGTGGATCTCCTGGAAGAGCTTCCCCCAAAGGAGTGGCTTTACGTCTGCTCAAAGTTTATGTTAGTGCTCAACCGAACCTCTGTGCAATTGCTACCCATTCCCCGACCCTTCACAATTTCTCTATAATTAACACTGAGAGATTTGAACAATCAGCCACTGAATATCAACCGCTAGGTACCAGCCTGTGGCCCCTGTTCCTTCTTCCATTGGCTGGGGTGACAGTCACTTGCCCCTAACGCTCCAGGGACTCCCGGTGATCACGAGATGATGACAACAACAGTGCATCCCACTCAAGAAGTCACTGCTGACTCCGTCCCAGCCTGTCTTAGAGTAACCACTTTTTTTTAAATTTTTTTATTTTTATTTTTTTTATTTATTTTCTTACAGTTGTAGATTTACAATTTTTTTTGTGCTTGGGTTTCAATTATACAATGATCAGATACCCATCCCTCCACCAGTGCCCATTTTCCACCACCATGGATAATATCCCTCCCACCCCCATCCCCCCATCCCCCCTGTCTCTGTGGCAGGGCAATCCCCTGTGTTCTCTCTCTCCTTTTGGGTGTTGTGGTCTGCAAAAGAGGCATTGAGTGGCAAACATGTTCAGTCCATAGTCTACTTTCGACATGCATCTCCCCTCCTGGGAGGATCCTCCAAACATCCTTTATTTGGTGCTCCCTTCTCTATCTGAACTGCTAGAGTAACCACTTTACATTGCTGTTGGACGTTTCTGCAATTTTACTGCGGAGTATCAGGCAGAATCAAAGTCATTTTTGTCAGCATTGTTTGTAGCTTTTTCTATGCTCCAGATGTAGGATTATTACTTTTTAAAAGTTGTTTGTTTTTAATAAATCATGGTACATATCCTACCCTGTTCTTTTGGAAACTAATCAGTCAATGGTATCAAATACGCAACCAAGTGAAAAGCTTATAATTTATTTATTATTCATTTTTCAGATGGCATAACTTTGTGAAAAGTTATATTCTGAAGGCTTCGTTTTCTTTACAGAAACTTGGCATCATTTATAAACTAAAATTTTCAGTACAATTTCAAATTGTCTTTAATATAATATGCGACATCTATTAGGTTTCATCTCTTTTTAAAGGCTTTTTATCTACTAACTCAAGGATGGAAGCTCGTTTATTATTATTTCTCACTGGGAAAATGTTACTGATATTTAATAATATCACCCGCAAAAGAAATTAAGGTTTTCTGGTACAACATCCTAATTTGGAATGCAATGTCGTAAATAAAATGAGGGGCTGAAATGAATAGTACAGTGGGTAGTATGCGGCCGACCTCGGTTCGATCTCTGGCATCTCCAAACACTGCAAAGGGTGGTTCCTGAGTGCAGAGACAGAAGTAATCTCTGAGCATCGCCGGGTGTGACCCCAAAAGCCAAAAGAATAAATAAATAAATAAATAAACAAATAAATAAAATGATTACCGATTCTGTAAGTGCCGGAGTTCCGTTTCCAAGTTGTGATTTGTTTCTTTCTGCTCATCCAAAGCTCTCTGGAGTTTGTGGATCTGATGCCGGAAACCATCCAGCTAGAAGCAAATTGGAGAGCATTCACTGAGAGGAATTCATGTACATAGTTAGTTAGAGAAAAATATGCACCCGACCTGCAGAGACGACTTGGAGGGCTCGAGTGTTCATTTTGCACATCCCATTTCTCTGCCTCAATTCTCATAATTTCTCTGCCTGAAGTTCCCACACTACAGAATCAATCCCGGACACTACAGGGTCACCCACCCCCTGCACGGGTATGGCCCTAAAATAAATAAATTCATGTGAACCCTTGATTCTATGACAAAAAAGTTAATTTTGCTTCTAAGAATTATTATTTTTATTATTAACTTTACTTTTATTATTTTATTTTTGTTCCCTATTTTATCATCCAAATTTTTAAATGTATTTTATGATATATGATAACATAAAATGCACATGTACACAAGTTTAAACAGTGGACTGTGAAAAACCATTAAAGAGCTAAGATTTTAGCTTTGAACTTTCTTCAGAAAAAAAACTCCCGTAAATATTGATGTTGTGTCTCCCTACAATTTAAGCCTTGAAAAGCTATACATTGGCAAGTCATTTTGTTTTCTGTCTAAGGGGGATTTCATAGTATGTACTTAGGTGGTTCTATTGTCTTTCTTTAAAAATTCCTAGCAACCAAGTACTTCCATTTGAATATTTCAAAGTCTTGTGAAATTTTCCATGAAGATAGTAATATTATTTTTAAGGTCAATCAAATATTTCTTACTACGTACAATGTAAAACTACTACTAAGGCTGAAAAACAACCTAGTTTCATTATTCCCGAATCAGTGTTATGTAAATGAGATGAATAATACTGTTTTAGTTAAAATATATCATTTAATTAACACCCAAATATTCATTTTATTTCTGAGTTTAAAGCATTAACATTTTAATACACACAATTTGATTTCTACAAATCTTATGATTTTTATTGTTAATAGTATTACATTTTATGTAGATGATCTAAGATTAATTCCTTGCTAAAAAACTCATAGCAGACTTTTGCCACATTTGTAGACCACACTGTAGTCAATTTTATATGACGTGTTAGAAATTTTTTACAGCTGTTCTATGTTTGATAGTTTTCATTCTCTGTTAATATAACATTTGCTCACACATTAGCCTTATGTTGCATTTCAATTACACTTTATATCGTTTGTTATTCAACCAGTAGACAAAACTTGTCTACTTTATTAGATAAATAATATAATAGTATTAATATTTTATCTTATATGTTTCTTAATGTTTTCTATAAAGTTGCAGGAGATCTAGTATGCAGCCTGATTATTTTTGCTCGTTTTGTTTAATTTTTCATTGTTTGTAGAATAATCGGAACATTCAACATTTATGCTTCATTCTAATTCATGTTCAGAAACAATTTTAATCCTGTGGTATATGATAAAGATACAAATTATAAAAGAAAATAGGATAGTAATTATTTTTGACTGGAGTGCAATCTCATTGTCAACTTCTTTCTTAAATATCTACTTGGGAAAAAAGACCAGTCCAGAACGCAGGGACCAAGACTGTACTTTCAGGGATCATTTCTATAGTCTGTTACCAGAATGCACGTACCAAGAACAGTTCCAGTATAATTCCAGTATAATTTCATTTCTAAATGGAAAGGATTATTTAATGTTAAACTGTGAGTCTGATCATCATTCTTTAGACATTTTAACACAAATATCTGTATCTCATAAAGCTACTTTATGTCACTTAAGTTGGGGAAAAACAGTAATAAGCCTTGAGCACTGCCATGTAGACCACCCGTCCCCCCCAAAAATTATTCTCATATTGTTGTTAATAATTTATCACATTTCTTTTTTTTTTTGCTTTTTGGGGTCACATATGGCAATGCATAGTGGTTACTCCTGGTGCATGAGCTCAGGAATTACCCCTGGTGGTGCTCGGGGGACCTTATGGGATGCTGGGAATGGAACCCGGGTTGGCCACATGCAAGGCACATTATCTTCTCTTAAATGTCCTACTCTGCTCCTCCTAAGACCCTTAGAACTTTACACTTACACTATGATGTTATGAATCACCATAGAATCTTGTTAAGTTACAAATCATTTGTACTTTGTCCTGTTTCTCCAAACTGTAATCTTTCATGGCTACCCAAATGAGTAATTTGTTTTAGTAACTTTCATATGTTTGCTCAGATCTAAATCACTATATCACTGTCATCCCTTTGTTCATTGATTTCCTCTAGCAGGCACCAGTAACATCTCCATTCGTTCTAGCCCTGAGATTTTAGCAAGTGCCACATTGGAGGCTCTTTCAGGGTCAGGGGAATGAGACCCATCATTGTTACTGGGTTTTGGCGTATTGAATACGCCACAGGGAACTTGCCAGACTCTGCCGTTAGGGCGGGACACTCAGTAGCCTACAGGGTTCTCCAAGAGCGAGAACCGGTGCTGGGGGCAGTTGGTGGGTGTAACTGCTTAGCTACTGGAAGATGGGGGATCTGGGTGGAGAAGGCCCAGCCCCGATCCAAGCAGCCTTGAAGATCTCAGTCGTGTGTCCCACACACCTGGGTTCCACTGCTGGTTCCTTCATGTGTGAGGCTCGTCCAAATGTGTGAGAGTGGTCTTAAGTATGGCTGTGGCTGGTTCGGGAGGTCTTCAGCTGCCAGGGTTATGGTCAGGGTGGGGAAGGAAATTCAACCTGCCCCACTCCCAGGGGCCCTGGGAGGACAGCCAGGCAAGGAGGCAGGAGACCCTGCCAGATCTAAATACCCCACATTGAATAGCTTTTACATTGAAAATTCCCCAAAAAAGAGGACCAGAAAGATCACAAAGTCACAGCTTTGCACATAACTGACCCAGGTTGGATCCTTGTTACACCAAGAGTGGCCCTGAGCACAGATCCAAGAGTAAGGACTGAGCACCATTGGGTATGGCCCAGAAATAAAAAAAATAAATTAAATTTACTGAAAAAAGAAAGAAAGAAAGAAAGAAAGAAAGAAAGAAAGAAAGAAAGAAAGAAAGCTGGTGTTAGTTTCTGACAGTGATATGATTTATGTATTGTCTTTATCTTTCTCCGCTAGAATGAAAATTCAATGCAGAAGTAGTATTCATTTTATTCTTATAAATATTTCATATGATTTCAAGTGTTTGTATGTTAAAGAAATAGATATGTTAACATAAATATTTTAAAGAATAAATAAATTAATAAACAAAAAGCTAATACTTTTGTTTAAAGTATTAGCTAAAAATTAGGCTAAAGCTTAAAAAATTTTTCCATGACTCTTAAATGAAATTCAGGGTGGGGAAGGAAATTCAACCTGCCCCACTCCCAGGGGCCCTTACATAAATGACTGCAGAATAATTATTTTGTTCCTATCACTACACTGTAAGGTCCCAGATACTTGCCGCCAACCTGGGTAGATTCTTCAAAATTGAGCAATTCAGAAATATCCATTTAAATTTTTATAGTAGACTAAAATCAACAATGTAACAAAAGTACAGGCTATAATCTTAGCCTCTGAGATTAGCTGACAGGAGAAAGAGAATGTGGGGAGGATGCTTGGACTCCAAGCACCTGAGATGGTCCCCTTGGCCCTAGTAGAAGTTATCCCTGAATGCAGAGCCAGGAGTAAGTCCTGAGCACACAGTGGTGTGTCCCTTCAAACAGAAAAAAAAACAAGGAAAGAGAAAGGAAAGAAAATAGGAAAGGGAAGGGAAGGAAGGGAAGGGAAGGGAAGGGAAGGGAAGGGAAGGGAAGGGAAGGGAAGGGAAGGGAAGGGAAGGGAAGGGAAGGGAAGGGGAGAGGCCACAAAGATTTGTAAACATTTTTGTTTATGAAGCAATTATGTTCATTTTGTCTTTGGAAATAAGAAAAATAGAGAGAGAGAGAAGAAAGGGGATGTCTTTTAGACTCCATAGACCAAGGCACACACATCACTTTGTTTTGTATTATGCCCTTACATAAATGGAGAGTCACAGCCCAGAGGCTGAAATGACGAGTTAAGCTCCTGTTGCCCTGAAGAGTCCTTTGGGCCAGTCTGCTCCAACTGTTTCGTGACAGACAGTCACGATGGGGTGTCTGTATATTCTTCCCAGTTTGGATTTTGATTAGGAAAATGAGAAATGATGCTGCAAACTAGTTAAGGGTTCTACTCAATAATTTCCTTAACACCAATCATGTGATGCTGTCTTTGTAATAAGTGACCAAGCATCACAATTAACAAATCTCAATTAATATTATAAAATTGAAGCCGTTAGTTTGTGTTATTGTATTTAATATTATACCACAATATGTTATCTATAACCCCTAAATCATACAAATTAAGAGAAACAGTTTATTAAAAATTTGGTGATTTTTTGTGGAAAATAATTGCCTGTTGATAAGCTTACATATGGAGGCTGTGTTATGGTTCTGATATCAAAATTCCTCTTAAATCTTCAAATGAAATATAGAACTACTTCTCTGAAAATAATCAAATTCTGAGATTTTAAATATTTCTAAGGTAGTATTTGTCGGTGGGCCCCACGGGTGACTTAGGTGACTCCAGTTAGGGCTGGAGCGATAGCACAGCGGGTAGGGCGTTCGCCTTACGAGCGGCCAACATGGCCGACCCGAGTTCGATTCCTCCGCCCCTCTCGGAGAGCCCGGCAAGCTACCGAGAGTGTTCGATATGCCAGACACAGTAACAACAAAGTCTCCAATGGAGACGTTACTGGGCCCGCTCGAGCAAATCGACGATCAACGGGAGGGCCTTTACCTTTTACCTAAGGTAGTAAAAATTTAAATAAGATTTCCACAATGTGTGACTTACCAGAGTTATTTTTGTTTATTTACAGATCTTATTTGCTTACAAGTAATAAAATTTTATTTTATTCGACTTTAAATCTTTCATGAAAATTGGCTAGTACATCCTTGGTTACTGACAGTTCTTAAGGTCTTTAAGAATCAACTAACAGTCTGGCTTTGGATAAAAATATTGCTTTGGATAAAAAAAAATAGGTCAAGGAACTAAAGTACATACATAAATGCAGAAGTCCCAA